TTTTTTTTGTCATCATGGTGAAGAAAAGAAAGCTTAATTTCCTTGGCAGCATTGTCTTGGAATGGGAAATCTTTTTGGTATATGGCAATGCAAAGCTTAAATCTTTCATGTGTAAAAATTATGTAGCCCTCAGTTTTCATTTTCAGGGGAAGCATAAAGATTTCATGATCCATTTAGAATTAATTTAAATTGACATAATTAAATAAATGCTGAAATGTTTGATTATGAGTTAAGTTGATATAGAGTCTAAATTTATTTTTTATATTTATTAATTTTAATTTTTTTTTTCTGAGACAGAGTCTTGCTCTGTCGCCCAGATTAGAGTGCAATGGCACAACCTTGGCTCACTGCAACCCCCGCCTCCCAGGTTCAAGCGATTCTCTTGCCTCTCAACCTCCTGAGTAGCTGGATGACAGGCATGCACCGTCACACCTGGCTAATTTTTGCATTTTTAGTAGAGACAGTGTTTCCCACATTGGCCACGATGGTCTCGAACTCCTGACATCAAGTGATCCACCCACCTTGGCCTCCCAAAGTGCTGGGATTACAGGTATGAGCCACCATGCCCGGCCTTTAGTATCAATTTATAAGTTAATTGTAAAATTCTGGAGATAATTCACTGTAAAAAGGTCTTCAGTATGAATTAAACTTTAAAAAGTCTTTTATCTGAGCACATTGGAGTTATTTGGCTTTCCAACCAACATTCTTATTTCATACTTATTGACTGTTGATTACATAAAGATCTAAGGGAAGAATACGGTGTCGATTAATTAATTAAAGGCAGTTATTAAAAGGAAACAGTATCATGCTAAGCTTAATGGTGCTGGGTTGGCCCCCGGGCTCCTTTTCCTTGGGCCCAGTAACTGTCACCTGTAAGCCTCAGTGTACTCAGATGTAAAATGGAGACAATTTCTGAGGTCAGGAGTTCAAGACCAGCCTGGCCAACATGGGGATGGTGCTAAGCCATTAATGAGATATTCACCTCCCACCAGGCCCCACCTCCAACAATGAGGATAATTTCAGTCCCTGCCTTCCAGAAAGTTGTGAGAGATTCCATGTAATACTGCATTCCTGGCAAACAGAGTATGCTCTACATGTACTAGCTCTTGTTCATTCCTGTGACTCCTATGTGTATTATAACAATAATATGGGCTGGGTGTGGGGGATCAAGCCTATAATTCCAGCACTCTGGGAGGCCAAGGCAAGAGGCTAGGTTAAGGCCAGGAGGTTGAGGCTGCAGTGAGATTTGATTGATGCCACTGCTCTCCAGCCTGGGCAACAGAGTGAGACCTGACTCAAAAATAATAATAATAATAATAATAATAATAATAATAATACAGGCACCATGCAGCAGCTATGGAGGAAGTGGAAGACAGGGCCCAGGCTTCTGGCTATCACCTGAGTTGAAGAGCAAGCACTCGCTCTGCACAGCACTTGCTATGTCTGAGTTCACGTGTGTCAAGGTGAGAAGCCAGGTCCTGCGCGGCCTCCAGCACCAATCAGCCACACCAAGCCTGCAAGTCCCTGAAAGGAGACTTTTGTTTAATATGGAATTCCATATGTTTTAGGGCAGGAAATTGAAATAGTGTCTCTGAAAATGATGAAAGAAGGGATTTTGAACATGCATACATGTACACATTTTAGGGAGCAGTCAAGACACGTTTAGTCACAGAAGCTTACCAAATTTTAAGGACTGCAATTTTTTTTAAAAGAGGATACCAAAAATGTATCTGGACCTCTGCCTTTAAGTAAACATAATTGACAGCACCCCTTCTGGCTGAATGTGACCTTGGCATATGATTTTGTGTGCCTTTCCAATGGTTTTCAGGATTTGTCTTTTTAAAAAAAAAAAAAAAAAACATATATATATACAATTGCAGGAGGAGTAGGAAGCTATTGCCCATTCTAGATACCTGTTGTTTGTTTTTGCAACGTCTTGTAAGAATATACTTCATAGCCAGGAGCCATGGCTCACACCTGTAAGCCCCACCTGTAATCCCAGCACTTTGTGAGGCCAAGGTGGGTGGATCACCTAAGGTCAGGAGTTTGAGACCAGCCTGGCCAATATTGTGAAACCTTGTCTCTAAAATACAAACATTATCCGGACATGGTGGCGGGTGCCTGTAATCCCAGCTATTCAGGAGGCTGAGGCAGGGAATCCCTTGAACCCGGGAGGTGGAAGTTGCAGTGAGCCAATATCTCGCCACTGTACTCCAGCTTGGGTGACAGAACAAGACTTCATCTTAAAATATGTATTTATTTATATATGTACACACACACTTCAGGATGGTTAATACTTATGATGTTCCCGATTTGTAGGCTCCGTCAGCTTTGTCATGCAGGTGGGAACTTCTTTTGGGAATTGTCAACATTGACCCAGTGGCCAATAATAAATGTGCTGAGCCTGTCTACAAATGCAGCTTTCATCATTTATGGCCAAAATATGTTTACCTTCTTTTAATATCTGGTTGATTCCTAGTGAAGCAAGCATTTTATGCATACATGAATGCAAAACATAACAAAAAGGTGTATAACGCAATCCACTTGTTAAAGAAAAGACCAGTTGAAGTAAGAACAGGTCTATGTCCTTGGCAAGGTTGCTAACTTTCCAATCGAGGCATATCTCCCCATTACGTTTTAGTTCCACATCTTAAATGTTGATTCAGGGACACGTCACACAGGTTGCTAGAGGAAGCGTTGGTTTTATTATTCAAAGAATGTTGGGTTTTGGAAATGACACAAATAACAATTGACCAGCTAGTTTGCCTCGAATTTTTATTTTAGTTTTGTAAAATATATCAAAACATAGATGGTGTCGGTAATTGCCAATTATTATCATTTCATTTTCTAAAGTGCTTGGCACTGCTGTCAAGGCTGGATGATATTGCTCACGGAAGATGTTTCTGAGAAGCGCATAAATGAAGGACTTTAAAAAAGCAGTGAGGTGGAATAGAAATGGCAGATAAAGGGAAACACATTTTCTGCATTTTCGAATGATTTATCACATAGTTGGGCCATTGCACGTTATATTTATTAGAACGACCACCCCGCATTTACTTTTCTTTTGGAAAGTCTTTCTTGTAAACTCTTGGTGCATTTGTGATTGTGTCCTGATCTGCCAGGGCTGGGCGCCGAGCGGAAAGTGCGCAGCCGCGAGGTGCAGTCAACGCCGGCAGGAGCGCGGGGCGCAGGGCCAGGGCCCGCCTCCAGGGGGCGGTGTGCGTCCTTAGCGCTGGAGCACCTGCGTTTCGGGACCCGGGCAGGTGTAGGGGTCTGCGCTCGGCTCCAGGCCTCCTGCGGGTAGGGATGCTTCATTGACAGATTTGGGCGTCCTCCCCTGAACGAATGTCATCGCGGGCGTGCTCAGTCAGCAGCCAGCTTCAGAGGCAATGGCTGTGTGTCGTGGGAAGGGGAGAGAGAAGGAAGCGGAAGAGAGAGAGTTGGAAAGACTAAAGGATTAAGTGGTCACGTCTTTTGCCATCCCAACCTTAAGCTGCAGTGTTTAAGGCCTCGTCTGCCCTGCTAAGGTCACAACACTTTTTACTTTACGTGAAAAAGAGAGGTACAGGAGCTTCAGTTCTGAAACCAATGAATGGTCTTAGAGCCCTCAACGAGCCGTCACTAAAGTATCTGGGTCACAGTTGTAGAGGAAGTGAGAAGCGTTTTTGAACCCATCTGAAATGGCTTCATGGAGGGTAAATCTCAAGTTGAATATTTAAAAGGGAAAGCCTGTGGTTTGGCCAAGAAGAATAAATGATATATTCTAGATCCACGTGAAGTGACTTGGTTTAGGAAAAAAATAATTCATAGGGAAAGGAACAGCGCAGAGGGTTCTGCGGTCTGTCGCCCAGGCTGGCTTGCAGAGAACGAAATTCAATCTAGTTAGTTTAAGCAGAAAGGGATTTGTGGCAGGATATTAAGTGGTTTACAGACTCGTTGGGAAGACTGAAGGATCAGATTCCAGACTGATCTTTTAAGAACACAACCCAAAGCCACCCTGAAGAACTAAAGAAACTATTGCCTCTCCTCAAATTCAGCAGAGTAGGGAAACAGTGGCCACAGCTGCTAGCTCCAGAACCATGCCACCTGCCCGGGCCGGGAAGCCACCCAGACAGGCAATTGACATAGTTAGGAAACTCTCCCAAGCAGAAAGCTGCTTCTAGTGCTGCTAGCTTCCAAATCATGACACCCCTGGTGTAACCCACACCAGCAAGTAGGTTCCGTGGGCGGTGCATTTTAATACTCCACAAAGCCAGTAAGTAGACACTGAGACCTCTCCTCACGCTTTCACAGAGAAGCTAGGTACCTTCACAGTGGCGCTTGTCAGCAGAATATTAGAAACATCCCTTCCTAATCCTGCACTAATTTGCCTGAATAGTGGAATCTAAATCACTGTAGACCCTAAATGCAAGGGAGTTGGGGAAATATAGTAAAAACTAGCATCCCAGCTCCTGCAATACGTGAAGACATGCTAGGAGGATATCAGCATGGTTGCTGGGTGACTCAATCCACAGCACTCATCACAGTCCTCTGCCTGTTAACTAAACTCCCATACACTCCCCTCTTCTCATATGTACACTTCCAAATGGCAATGATTCCCCATGCATAAAAAATGGAACTCACTTTCTTCCCAAAGCGGGGAAGTGCCATGAGCCACTGCATCCTGTTCTCATGAAGGTTCTGTGTTCTAGATTCTGTTCTGGTGTTCACTGAAGTTCAGTCATAATCCTACCTTGATATCTTATAACCCATAGACTGAATTATATAAAACACATCCATCTTATATAAAACACATCCATCTTATATAAAACACATCCAATATAAAATGTTAAGGGAAAGAGGGAGAAAACATATAAATTGACTAGGCTAGAGAAAAGAAGGAAAAAATAATGCTATTGCAGTCCTTATTTTTTCAAGAATCGTGGTTGCTTTATTCTACGATGTATTTCCTTTCACCCCACCGGCAACTCTGCTGGTTAGAGCTCTTTATCTAGTGGAGTGATCTAAGTCTTTTTTCCTGAGAGGTCCTATTTCTGTGTGGTCTTTCTTGTATTGAGATACTGTAGTCTTCCACCAACTCTGTGATTGGACATACAGCATTTGCCTGTGATTTTCCTTGAGGGGTTCTGCAGGTACCATCATATTCTGAGTGACTTAGACACTTCCAGCACTACTAGATCTGTTACAGATCCAAGTGTGGTAAAGCTGCTTGCATGTGACCTGAAAAATTTGCTCTGTTTTTTTTGTTTTTGTTTTTTTAAGACAGAGTCTCTCTCTGTCACTCAGGCTTGGGTGGTACAGTGGTGCAACCATAGCTCACTGCAGCCTTGAACTCCTGGGCTCAAGAAATCCTCTTGCCTCAGCCTCCTGAGAAGCTAGGACTATAAGTGTACACCATCATGCACCCAGCTAATTAAAAAAAATTTTTTTTTGAGACGGTGTCTTGTTATGTTGCCCAGGCTGGTCTCAAATTTCTGGGTTCAAGTGATCCTCCTGCCTTGGCCCTCACAAAGTGCTGGAATTATAGGCATGAGCTACCATGCCTGGCCTGCCCTGGGATCCTCTCAAAGCTGGCAGACTCATGGGTTATTCAGAATAGGGGTCAGAGCTGCACACACACACACACACACACACAGACACACACACACGGTATATATTGGTTCCCCGGTAGAGTTGTATCAAGTGCTATAGCTCTTTATTAGCAGTAGGGGGTGCAAAATTCAGAGAGATATCTCATTGCTCACTGGATCACTGCGCACAGCAATTCTGCCGAGAGAGCAGCTCTTGAATTCTTGTGGCACAACATTCCACACTTCGGCACAATCTAGGCACATAATGTACTTGTTCCCGCTCACTAGGTGCAATAAGAATATTACTAATGTGTCCTCTGGAATGGTGACGTGAACACGGTTCCCTGCAGATGTAACTGGGAGAGAAGGCAGAGTCCTGCCACAGGGTAAGACTGTGGAGATGTATTCTAGCTGGCCCTACCAGGTAAAAGAATATTGCTTTTTGTGGTTTTGTTGAGAAAGAGACAACAGATTTACCAAATTAGTAGCTGCATATTGGTGCTCGGGCTGTGTTGATTTGCTGTAGTCATAAAACTACGTCTAGAACAAGAGCTGCAATTGAAGCCATCTATTGACTAAATTAACAGTGAACTGTCATTATCCTCCTACGGCCATATGTGTTCTACATAGGTCAGGCAGCGGAGTTAAGTGGGTGACACAGGAAATGTCATCTCTACATCTTTCAAGTGTTCGGCAGTTCATTCAGGGATGTGATGATGATAACTCTTGTTAGGAAGAAGTAGGGTGTTCCAGGGTGTTCCACTTGATCCTTTTTACCTAAAGAGTCCTCACTTCCTGGGCCAGGGATGAGTGTGGGGATTCGGTAGCTGGGGTGTTTCTGCATGCATTCATAGAGTTTCTGCATAGAGAATGCTCTGCATTCAGAAACTCAGGAAGTGGAATAGGACAAGTTTATAGACCTACAAGGTACACCATGAGAGGCACTTGAGCCAAAACTCCACTTACCCCTTGACTCCTGTAGCCCCAACTCTGAAAGCAGAGTTCAAGCGACTGTTGTGTCACCTCTTGCCACACAGCACCAGGGTCCCACCTTCCAATGCGAATGAGACCTTCTGTGCTTCACGCCCAGCCAAGTCAGATAACTTAGTGGTCTTCAATTTGTTTTCTCCATATACTCCTGAAGACAATTTAGAAAAATAAAATACCCTTCACCCACTTTTTAATTGACGTCTCACCTTTTTCTGATGCATGTAAATAGTTGAAATGGATCACAAAACATTAGAAGCTTTCAAAAAGCTAACATGACAAAACCTAAGAAAGAGATTTTTTTTTTTTTTTTTTGGATGGAGTTTACTCTTGTTGCCCAGGCTGGAGTGCAATGGCATGATCTCGCCTCACTGCAACCTTTGCTTCCCGGGCTCAAGGGATTCTCCTGCCTCAGCTTCCTGAGTAGCTGGGATTACAGGCGTGAGCCACCATACCTGGCTAATTTTGCATTTTTAGTAGAGATGGGGTTTCTCCATGTTGGTCAGGCTGATCTCGAACTCCTGACCTCAGGTGATCTGCCTGCCTTGGCCTCCCAAAGTGCTGGGATTACAGGTGTGAGCCACCATGCCAGGCCAGAGAGAAATATTTTTAGTGAAGATCTACCTGATGCATCTCTTATATTTTTGTATAGACTGGCTTCTGGTTGTCTACATTTCCAACCTTATTTCTTGTCTACTGTCCACACATTCATGGTCGTGGTCACCACAGAAAATGAATATCACAGCATGACTTCTGGCCCTCAGCACCACAGGCAGAGGGAGTATTTCTACAAATCATTTTTACACCAGAGTGGCTAGCAATAACATAACCATATGTGGAAGTTACCGCATCAGTAAATACATCCTGTAAAACCCAAACCTACTTATTTATCCAAATTCAATTAGTGGACTTTCAAAAGCGCCCGTGGCCACTGCAATGACACCACACATGAGGACAAGAAAGACAAAGGGGAGTGTAAAAAGAGGTATCAATCATTATGGTTGAAACATCTTACTCTTGCATATTTTACTAAAATATGTGACCCAGAAGAGCCATTTCTAGGCCTTGGAGGTGGCCTGTGCTAGTGAAAACCTTTGAAGATTAGGGTTCATTGGCTTCAGGGTGAATCTGCCTCTGCACTGCCAGTAGGGACATTATGATAAAAATGCCATGTAACTTTGTAGAAAGTGTCCACGGGGCTAAACACTGTAATGACATGTTATTGATCATCATTCGCTTTAAAAATATTTGAACAATCTCTTTAATTTTTAAAAATTTTGTCTTTTTATTCTTTGAACATATATTTCCACTTCACTTTCTTCTCAGAATTCTATCAGAACGTAATGTGTATGTGTATATATACATATATAGATGTTTTTTTGAGACATGTCTCACTCTGTAGCTCAGGCAGTACCATCACAGCTCACTGCAGCTTTGAACTCCTGGGCTTAAGCCATCCTCCCACCTCAGCCTCCTGAGAAGCCGAGATTACAGACATTCACCACCACATCCAGCTAATTGATTTTATCGATTTTTGGTTTCTTTTGTAAAGATAGGGGTCTCACTATGTTTCCCAGGCTGGTCTCGAACTCCTGGTCTCAAGCATCTCTCCCATCTCAGCCTCTCAAAGTGCTGTGATTATAGGTGTGAGCCACTGCGCACAGCCTAATGTATATTTTTTAACAGCTTTATTAAGATATAATTCACATATACAATTCACATACATAAGGTGTACAATTCAAT